TATGGTAATATTCAACGAATATGAACCCAACCGTTAACCGACAAATTCTCAGAAGTAATAATACATCTCTCTAGTCTAATCAACAAGTTCAAAAACATGAAGAATAGAGATAAAGGTCCTGAAAATATTAGCCATAGCTCATTCGATTCGGAAAAATGTTTTCGAAGGATTTTGGTGTAGGTAAAAAATTGCAATTGTTATTAGCAGAATAAGATAAGTTATTCGTTAATAACTAAAAAATATCAATATTTAGGCAATTTTGAAAAAAGATCGTTGAAAAAGAGGAAATTTTCGATGAAAAAGTCTCGACTCCCGAAACTCTATCTCCATTATTTATAATTTTAATTTGACGTTGAAAATAGGGTTCCTCACGCGCTGCCGCTAAAGAGAGTTTATCAAAAGAAATAATTATTTTATAACATAACATGTCATTATAAAAATTTGAAAAAATCTAGTATCTTCTATACACTTGAATCAATCGAGTTCCGTAGAAAAAAAAGTTTTATTACCATTTTGTAAAAAGTTATTCAATTGTAAACTAACAAATTTTTCCCAATCTCCGTTAGCATAAGTAATGGGATAAAGGGTATAAATAATTGGCCTATGAATGTTAAACTTCGTGGAGCCTTTTGATATATATACTTCATACGATCTTGTGATAAAAGTTCAAAAAAATCTATTAATTTGTTGATTATGATTTTTTATAACTATTGCAAAATGAAATATCTAAAAATTGTTGATAACTTTTATTTTCAATTGATATTCAGCTATGTCTGTTTTTACATCAAACAATGGCAGTTATTAACATAGGATATGCATTTTTGTCGTAATTTGTTTATCAAATTGTTTTAAACAAATAGAGAAATTCAATATTTTCGAAAATTTTTTTTGCCTGTTTTATTGTCTAGAGATAATTATGATTTGAAATAAAACTGTTATTCTGATTTTGATTTTTACCATTTTTTTCGATCTTATTTTGTCAATAACAATTGCAATTTGTCACCTGCACCAAAATCTTTCAAAATAGTTTTTCTAGAGGTGATTTCGAATCGAATGAGCTATCGCTCATATTCTTAGGAAGTTTATCTCTATTCTTCATGTTTTTGAACTTGTTGATTAGACTACTCGTCAAATTTGATATCTTGAAACTTCTATGAAATATTTTGAGTTAATTTGAATTGTTCAATTGGTCATGGTATCGGCAACTTTTTGTTCACACAACCGGCTCTGTGACTATTTTATCAAATTACTGTATAGACTTCTTTTGAAAATCGTTGTCTCACCCAATATTTGCTGTTGTGACTTCAATCTGTCTATCTGTTCAACCAACAAACGTGATGCAAACAAATAAAATATTTCCACTTTTTATTCCACATTTTTTATTTGATTAAATTATATTGCAATCCTCTAGATTGCCAGAAGCTGACTCCCCAACTCATGGCTGTGGATTGAAATAAAATTCTGTGAAGCATGAAGTTTGCCGCTGTAGATTGAATAGCGTTATGGTTTCTTTTGTAAACAGTTGAACTGTCGAGCAAACAAGAGCAAAAGGGATTATTTTCCCAAAGCCAGTTTGTTCCACATCCGTCAACACAATAGAGGGAATTAAGACCTTTACGATCGCAATAAACTTTTAGAACCTGGATATTTCACGACTGCTAATAAAAGACCACTAATAAAAGAGGTCAAGTTGGCAACTGGGTCATGATCAACACTCTTAATTGAAGATGGCCTGGTAATTAAAAGAAGTTATGCATATAGTGAATTTCTTTGTTGTCCAATCTTTACCTTTTTTGAACATGACAATTCACAAAATCAAAACTTGAGGTAGAGGACTTGATGCATAAACATGCATACAATACTGAATTTTATAGTTGAATTTAGAGTTGAATTGAAAGATGAAAACTCAAATATGGCGGCTGGGTGTGCCATCTCGGAAAAGATCGAATGGAAAGAAATTCTTGACACACACCATTTTGAAGCCACTGACGAATACTTCATCATCCCCTAAAGCTAATGCCGACTATGTTTTTCTCATGAATTTCAATGAGTGCATTGAATTCAATTCAAAAGATGCTCAAAATGGTTGACTTGAACTTTTCTATGTTCGAAATTTCATATGAAACATTATCAAATACAGCAACACCGATTTTCTACAAATATTTTTTATTGTCTGCTGTTGATACGATATTGAAGGAGGTTCAGTTTCGTAGACCTTTTTGCTTCGAATAGACTCTGGTAGATTTATCTGCAGTAATATGGGGAGCTTCACCATATTGTAATATAATACCGATAATGATTTCATCGAGATTTCCTTCGACGATTACGATGATTATAGGGTCGGCACATTCAAATAAAATTTTGTTGTTGAGTTTTGTTCGATGGAATATGAATTTCCAGTTTTTCTGGACATTGAACATGGCTTTCCCGAAAGACGTATGATTGTTTCTCTCCAATAACGATAATTTTATCTATGAACCTTACTAATGAGAAACAGTGTACATTCATCACTGAAACAAATATTTTTGTGATAGATGGGAGGCTTGTACTGTTTTCCATCAGAGTTTTACAGATCTCCTTTCTCTGAACAGAGTAATCTCTAGTTTATTAATGTATCATTTGGACTTTGTATGAAAGATTAGTTTTAATCTAAAATCTTCATGAGAAGAGCAAACGTCACAGACATAAAACATATTTTTACGATGCTACTTCAACAGATAAGCGTTAGATGAAGTTTCAAAAACCATATTGAAAGAGTTTGTTGATCGTCAATGAGTGTTTTTTCAACAAAACAGTGTGCCATCATACAATACTCGTAACGTTTATAATTTTTCAGTTGTCCTTTTTATTGATCGTTTCAATGCTACCGGAGAATCAGCTGGTTGGCCTTTCTCTTGTCCAGATATTACACTCATAGAATTTAATTTTTGGAGATTTTTGAAAAACCAAGTTCATAGTATCGACGTTCTCCAAATAACGATAACGAATACCATATCATCAATGGTTTGAAGACAACAAAAAAAGTGATCAAAAACGTATTAAGAAAATAGATGTATTCCAACATTCAATTCTATTTTAAGATGAATATTGCAACAGATATGCATTATTTTGTTTTGATTAAAAAATTTCTGGTAAACTTGACGAAAAATGGATAAAAAACATAACTGCGTTCGGGATGGAATATTTTGGAAAGCGTTTAGGTTCAGAAAGAAGTTGGCAATAGATTAAGATGCAGATATATCCGGTGTGTTATTGAATTTTTTTTTAATGAATCGAAAACGAAATATTCAATTGTTTCTTGCTAACGACGTTAATCAGCAAAAAAGCAGGACTAGTTCTCCAACTCAACCAAAGTCATATCAAACCAAATTTCATAATGGAAAAAGTAAGCCGACTGTCATCTTCTAGACACTCTCAAACTGCCTAGAATATGACAGTACGACCAGCTGCCGAAAGCGCTCGCAGATAATTAATAGAAGATATAAAGCTTCAAATCCTTTTCGTGAAATTTAATATTAAAATACTGAAAATAAAATGAAATTAGTTGCATCATTCAATATATATATATATCTCACGTCAGCAATAGTATACAGGGGGACACATTTTGACATATTCACATTTGATGTTACTTTCCCTATCCAGAGCACTTCACCAATTTTTTTCAAATGGATCACCCTATATTGTTTCGCATTATCAGATGCTCCATGATGAGCAGATTTCAACAAAGTATAAAACATATGGTCTGAAGCGTTTGGTTCGGCAGCTACAAATTATTTGAGTTGATAACGAATCACTCTGAATAACTTTTGAAACAATGATTAGCAGGAAAAATGAAAAAACAGGTCAACAATTATACAGGTGGCCACATTTTGATATATTCGTTCTAGAGACAAATATGGAAGCAATGAATCAGAAAAACAGATTTTTCATTAATCCTTGAATCAAAATATGATGACTGGACATAAACTTTAAATTTCAAATGACCTCATAGAAAAAAATCTACAGGAGTGAGATCCGGAAACCATGGTGGCCATTCTGTAGGACCTCTTATGCTAATCCAGTGTGCAGGAGAATGCTCGTTCAAAAAATATCGCACTGNATATCAAAATATAGCTCTCATGAACTCCTAAAACTTTTGTATGAAACATTTTTGTGTATCTCCTTCAACAAACCAGATATTGCCTGTCACATAAAATGTGGGACACCCGGTATATATATTGAATAACAAAATTAGTTAGCTCCCTAACTATATTATTAAAGTTGAACTGTTGGAAGGTAGGTTTACTATATCCTCCCTTCTCTTGTCAAGACTATATCGCTATTCGTGTGAACCCAGACTCAAGTGATAACCATGGGAAGAACGATATCTTCTCCGGCTAGGAAAGTAAGGATCTCTGGAAGGGAGATCGACTGGCGAGTGCGGGTAAAGTAACTCGGTCTTTTAATAGACGGTAAGCTCACCTGGAACCCGCACCTTGAATTTGTAAAGGCGAAGATCGAGGGTCGGATCAAAAGTCTGTACCTTCTGATCAATAGTAAATAAAAAATGAGCCTGAAAAATAAAATTACGCTAAATAATATGATGTTCAAGCCTGTCATCATGTATGCTTATTCAATAACCAATATCTCCATTTTGGAGACATAGATTATGCTGTAGACGACCTCTCCCGATGTAAAGGCCCCGACACTCTGTCGAATGAAGCCCTCATGTCCCCCGTTAACGGATGAATAATTTTCTCATCCACTCACCCCAGCCAGGCAGGGGATGCCGCAGTTGCAATTGAAACGTTTGGAGATTATAACCAAAGAGAACCACGGAAAAACCTGAAAGCCAATCAAAACATTGACGCCATGAAATATATAATACACTATATAATAAACCACCTTCAATATCATGAAAAATTCTTGGGGTACCTACATAAAAATGTTCATCCTATTCATTTCCAAATTTCACAGACCTGACTAATTTCTGACTCAAATAAATATGTTTCTGCACTCACCTATAAAAAACCAAGTATACTGCTTCCCGTAAAGGTTTTGTTTATACAGTTCACATAACACCCGCCTTGCTGCCACAACGTAAAAAAGTCCAACGATGACCCTCGAGTCCTGCCTCCTGAGATTTCTCACGGCGTCCGTCGGATCCGAAAGAAAAGACTGTCTGGTTACTATTTCGATGCCTGAAACGGAGACATAAAATATGTATATAATGGATTGAATACTTTTCCAACTTTTCCAATGTATATGGATGCAAATGTATGTGAATATCCCGCTTGGATTTGAATATTTTTCGAATATGTACCGTTTGAGGAGATTTATAGTTTGTTGTTGCGGGATATTCTGAACTTTGCTTTTTCAGTTGTGAATATACTGGATGTCAACGAATCTATTTGACAAGTCATAACTTTCAGAGTATTGGGTGCATTAAAATCCATGGTTGATGTGTACAATTATCACATTGAAATTTCAAAAATTTACGAAAAACTGTCCGAACTTAATATCAACAAAGGCCCTGGTCCTGATGAAATTCCTCCAACTTTTCTTAAATCATTAAGCTTCATTTTAGCTCAACCACTTTTCTATACATTTAATAATTACCTATCATCTGGCAAATTCCCGGACTATTGAAAACCTCATATGTCACTCCAATATACAGGGTGTAACATAAGTACGTTGAAATATTCAAGTGACTTATTCCTGAGACAGTTTAAAAAAAAGTCTTTATGAACTTGTGTCCGAAAATGCTTCGTTTCGTAGATACGGGGTGTTGAAATCAAATTTTTTTGTTAGCTTTTTGAAAATGAATCTTGTAAAAAGTAAGTTATTTGCACGAAATTCGGTACTCGGGGTTTTTTTTGACGTGGAAAATCATAATTTCGTATCAATTTTCATGTAACATCTAGAGGGCGCTGCGTGCGCTGTCATTATTTATTTCAAATTACCCTAAATTTTTGACAGTAAACTTTTTGTACTTTTCATGAAATAACCTAATTCCCACACCTTTTCCAAGTAAAAAAGGTATACTTCCTCAACAAAGCTGGAGGTGATCGTTTTCGAGATGTTTACAATTTTCTATATCTTAGCTCCTATACTTAGCTCCTAGAGCGCTGAGTGAAGTTGCTGGGAACATTACAAAAACTAAGTATGTTGTGGATCTCGTCAAAATAAACAACTTTGCCCTATAAAATGTTTAACGAAGAATAATTCGTTTTCGAAATACAGATTGTTGAAATTTTTTAAAACATGGTAGGTTTTTGTCATGAGTTTTTTTTGCAATTTTAGTTATTTTCATCAAACTTTATACGCTGTATACGCGTACAGACTTATTCTGAACCGAGCATTATCGAACTGCTTATTCAATCCAAATTAAAAAAAAATTGTCAGGTTTAATTATTCAATTAGAAAGTGCTACAATTCGGAGTTTGTAAAAAAAAACAATTTGTAGAAGTACTGTGTTATTTATTAGGAAAATAAACATAAAAAAATTGAACGAAACAACTATTACAACAACTGTTCAAAGTGACGACCCCCAACAGTAATAGAAGCTTCTGCTCTCCTCATCAAAGGATTCCGCCCGGAGTTTTTTTTATCGTTTCGCAGCAAGCTATGATGCGATCCCTCAACATTTTCTCGGTTTCAATGGGGCTAGCATGAACTAGTAATTTCAGGTGTCCCCAAATGAAAAAATCGACGGGATTGGGGTCCGGTGACCTCGGGGCCAATGCTCTGTGCCTCCTCTCCCTATTCATCGTTGGGGATATGCTACGTCTGAGAAATTTCTTGCTATCACACTAAAATGAGCAGGAGCTCCATCGTGCATAAACCAAGAGTGATTTCGTAGACCAATGTGAACATCTTCCATAAGTTAGGGAATCTCGTATTTAAAAAAAATTTGGTAAGCATCTCCATTCAAACGTAAGGGGAGAATATAGGGCCCAATTAAATAATCCCCAATAATGCCTACCCATACATTAAAAAAAAATCTGTCTTGAGAATGAGTTTGCGTTATCGCATGTGGTCATCTTCCGCCCAGATGTGGTTGTTATGGAAGTTCATGATACCACTTCTCGAAAAATTAGCCTCATCTGTAAAGAGGATTTTCGATAAAATTTCCAGATGTTGTTCGACTTTTCTTTGAAGCCATTGAGCAAATTCGATACGTGGTTGGAAATCACGTAGCGCAGCGTGCCTGGACACGCTGAATATGATAAGGATATAATTGCTGTTCCTTTAAGATTCTGTAAACTGTCATGTGACTCACATTTGAAGTTTGACTAATTTTTCTTGTATTTGTCTCTGGATGTTCACTAATTTCTTCGAGAACCACCTCCTCCAATTCTACAATTCTTGTAGTCCGTGACCGTCCTACTGCAGAATTTATTTCAAAGCTTCCAGATTCGCCAGAAAAGATTCGCAAATGTCGCTTCACAAGGAGTCACGCGTTGAGGATACCTTTCCTGATAGATGCGTCTAGCCTCGTTAGAATTTCCGTTAGCCAAGCGGTATGCAAAAACCATATCGGCCATTTCAGCATTCGTAAAGTCGGGCATGGTACCAAAAAATCACTTTATAAACTCCGAACTGTGAATTCGTCAATTAATAGTTAAAAATGTGACAGCGAACTTCTATTTTTATAAACAAACTTTCATAGCCTACTCAATTCAGTTAACTTAATTTGCAAGCGGAGAGTGACAAAAATTATTGAAATAAAATTTGGCTATAAAGTAATATGCATCGATATAGAAAATAATAAATATTTCGAAAACGATCACCCCCAGCGTTGTTGAGGAGGTGTACCTTTTTTACTTGGAAAAGGTGTGGGAATTAGGTTTTTTCATGAAAAGTACCAAAAGTTCACCGTCAAAAAAGTTAGGGCAATTTGAAATAAATAATGACGGCGTACGCAGTGCGCTCTAGATGTTACATGAAAATCAATACGAAATTATGATTTCTCACGTCAAAAAAACCCCAGGTACCGAATTTCGTGCAAATAACTTATTTTTTTGCAAGAGTTATTTTCAAAAAGCGAACAAAAAGTTTCAATTTCAACACTATGTATCTCCGAAAAGAACCATTTTCGGATACAAGTTCAGATAGACTTCTTTTTCTCAAAATTGTCTCAGGAATACGTCAGTTTGACTATTTTAACGTACTTATGTATAAATCTGTATAAATCAGGCCGGAAATCCGACGTGTGTAATTATCGTCCCATTTTTATTCTTAGCACAAATACTAATATTTTTGAGAGCATCATTTTTGTTTACCTTACTTATGACTACTCCAAAATTATACAGACCCAACAATTTGGATTTATATCCAAAAAGTCAGCTGAAGTGGGTCTGATCACCAACGTTGATTTTTGTCTGAAGCGGTGTGCAAGGGTTTGCAAGTTGACTCTGTGTACACTGATTTCACCAAAGCTTTTGACAAAGTTAATCATGAGCTATTGATCCATAAATTCTGTTCATATGGTGTTGATGGGCAAATATTGCAGTGGCTCAAGAGCTATCTTTCGAAAAGAAAATTGTTAAAGTTGATCATTACTTATACCATCGCAGTTACATCGGGTGTTCCACAAGGTTCACATTTCTAACCACTGTTGTTCAACCTCTTCATCAACGATCTAATCAGCTGTTTCTATGAAAGCGAAGCTTTGCTATTTGCCGACGATTTAAAATGTTTCAAAATAATTAAAAGTGAAGCTGATACATTGTGTCTACAAAACGATATAGATTGCCTATCCAAGTGGTATTCGCAAAATGGTATGTGTTTGAATGTATCCGAATACAGAATTCGTCGCTTTCACCAAACACATTACCCAATCACTTTCGAATATAGTATAAATAATCGGATCTCACATTCTGCTATTGAGTCTAGAGTGATACTAGACTCCACACTTAGCTATCACAAATTTCCGCTGTAATTTAAAAATCTATGAAGATGCTTGGCTTTATAAAGAGAACCACCCGTGATTTCACCAACACCACTGCTTCATTTGGTCTGGTTTGGTCTCCTCATTACGTTACACAAAAAGTGAAACTAGAGGTCATACAGCACAATTTCCTACGATATATTGCCTTCAAGATGCGTAAAAGTTGACTATACTGCATTGGAAAGCATTTTGAACATACATTCTCTTGAGGCTCGCAGAAAACATAGAGATTTAATACTTCTATTCAAAATTATTAACGGACTGAGCATCATCACCAAGCTTCCCTCCAAAATAGCTCAACATTTCCCCAGTTGTTCAACTAGACATAGGCAAACTTGTTACGTTTCTTTTCACAGCTTCAATTATTCATATTAGTTTTATTTCCAAAACTCTTCGGAATCTTCAATATATCATATTTCCGCTTTAAAAAACATATTCTTCACTTATCCATCTAATACTGTCTGCTTGTGTTGTTGTATTGTGTCTAGTGTTACTTGCCTGTGAGAATTATATTAGTTCATATTGTTATACATTTTAATTTTTCTCAATTAATCTACTTGCTACCATACTTTGAAATTGTTTATTCGATATGGCGAGTGGAACGGACGTGTCTAGAGAGCTCCATTTGAATTCAAATAACAAATGTGTAAAGTGCAATAGAAAAGTGGCCAAAGGGGTCAATTGTGTAATTTGTTCCATCACATTACACCTCAAATGTGCTAACATTGACGAAAATTCACCTCCTTCGGAGTTTAAGTGCGAACAGTGCGATACACCAGACTCTGATTTCCATGATGCCATGTATGACGCAGCAGGTAAGCTGGACCCAAGGATATTCAAATATATCATAAAACAAAAGGATGATATGATAAATGAACTGAGAAACAAAATTTCAGTTTTAAACAACCATATCGAACTATTAAAAAAACTCACTAATCTAGACATACATCCAGTTGATAAGGTTTCTTTATTGAGTAAAAACGATAATGGAATGCCCACAACCTGAGTTGTCTGGTGGGCCACAGCCAGAGTCTAGTAAAGAAATTCCAACAAAAACTGAGAATTCCCGAGGTGAATCCTCAAAGGAAAAACAATTAATAACAAAGCCGCAATTATCAGCCGAGTTACTGAGGATTGAAAGTGAGCGGAAAATTAATGAAATCGTGAATTTATCCAAAGACACTGATACGAAAAATGTGAGTGATGAACGAGGATGGAAAATGGTGGAGAATAGAAACAAACGCAGAAAAAAAACAAATTATATACGGGAAAAACACGGAGCTCACGGTAGAAGGTGCTCCAAAGTTTACAGCACTGCACGTCAGTGGAGTGGATAAGGAGACCACATTGGTCTAACTGACTACTCTGTTGAAAAATCACTTTCCAGAGGTAGAATGCGAGTCAATTGTACCGAAACTCTTCCTTCAAGGTGAATATTCACCATACCAAAAATGATCTTGCAATGAATCCTAATATATGGCCAGCAGGAGCATGCATCAGCAAGTTTTTTTACCCAAAGCACGGGATGCAGGCAGTGAAGTAGTGATGTCTCCTCTGTCACGTGAAAATTGCATAAATACCGAAATGTGTATACTACATCTGAATATTCAATGTTTGTCTAATAAGATGGATGCGGTTTCACATTTTTTGAGCGAAAATGAGTTTTCTATTGTCTGCTTGAGTGAACACTGGCTCCAGGAAAATACCCTTTCCACTATAAGATTTGACCAATTTAATCTAGCAACGGAATATTGTAGAGAATACAATTTACACGGAGGTGTGGCAATTTTTGTGAGAACACACATTAAATTCAAACGCCTGAATTTAAATAAATTTTATTCGATTGACGAATATATGAGTACGCCAACTACTGAACTTTTGAAATGACTTGTATATTTTTTAAGTATTAGTTTTAGTTGTTTTACGACAGTGTATGTTTCTATATACATGTATATATGTGTGTATATGTGTATGTATATGTGTATATATGTGTGTGTGTGGGTATATTTATATGAATTTTTCAAGAACACGAGTGTGAATATGTTCCTATTTGACTTGCTACAAATATTTCATGTATATAACGTAGCCAATAAATATCTATCTATCTATCTATCTCTACACTTCTCCAAGCGATGCTCCCAACTCTGTAACCTGTCCAAATAGTACTCGGCGTTTTTCTCTTCAAAATAATTGTTCACGAAGGTGATTGCCTCTTCATTTCATGAAAATCTCTGTTATTCGAGCGCAAATTTCAAGCAATTTTCAAATGAGGGAACAAAAACAAGTCGATTGGGGCTAGATTTGGTGAGTAAGGCGTATGATCACCGCTGAGGTGTGAAACAGAATTTTGTTTCTGTGGCCGTTTTCTGTTTGGACTATATTTTTTGTTTCGGGTGTATAATGGTGTATCCAAGTTTCCTCTATAGTAATGAATTGGCGCTGAAAATTAGATTTGCTGCGCCTAAACTGCACTAACAGAGCGTTGGAAATGTTCATTCGACACGTTTTTGGTCTAATGTGAGCAAACGCGGCACCCAGCTTTTTCGTGCCAAAATGTTGATCTAATATGTAACACACACGTTTTTTTGATATGTTCATAAGTTCTGCTATCTCTCCCACTTTGATACGACGGTCGTCTAGCACTAGGATATAGGATAACTATAACACTAGAGAAAAACAGTTGTTACTACCAGTACGATATCATACTGCCCTCTTTCACAAACGTTATGAAGTGAATGGATGCAATTTCTTTGATATTTCACCCGAGACTGTGAAAAATTGTAAAACACATATATGTGTTTGAAAAAAATGAAAAAACAACTCATATTACAAAAAAAATTGTTACACTTTTGAAGAATTCCTCAACTAGATCTTGAAGTTTTTTTTAATCTGTGCGACTGTTTATCAATCATTTATTTATTACTTATTGTGTATATACAGCTATATATAATATTATATTATGTGATGCGCCCATTGACGTCTTTCACAATAATTTTGTCATAGTGTACATTAAACCCATTTGTATCATTGTGTACAATCTTATTGATTGAAATAAAGTGATATTATTATTATTATCATTTGTCGATTCCATAGGTGACTTCTTCTTAAGGAGAGATGTCATCACCTTTATTCGCAAAACCTAATTATAATAATTCATTTGCGACTGGATTAACGACTGCAACAAAATCAACCAACCAAACCAAATTAACATGTTAACGAATCAATACATTAAATAAACAAAAAATCATCAGTGATGCCCTGGATTATTCAAGAGTAAAATATCCGAATTCATTAGATTTTTTACAATAGTCAAAGTACATTTCTGCTTTCAAAGACACATTTCAATTTTGATCAGTTATTGGACGACTTACATATCTCCTGAAAATGGGGAGTTTCAGGTACATGGTTGTTAAGAAGTAATCGTCATAAATTCAGATTTATTCATTCTATAAAATTATCTATGTTCTTTCATACGTGCTTCAAATGTTCTGCCAGTTTGACCTACGTAAAATGAATGTCTACTCACCCGCCTCTGTGCACCGCCGCTCTAGATCTTCGACCGTAGATATGAAAACTTCCTCCGCCTGTTGAAGAATTGCCACCCTGGACCAGCCGAACTTTTTCATTAATTTTATTCTTGTCGGGTTGTGCACCGTGGCCGAGGGGTGGGTACGGAAGAGGGTCGGAAAGCGGTTTCGGTCGGAAAGGGCGGGCGAACTCGCTCCGTAACAGAGCTGAAAATGAAAATTAGAGTGAAGATAAGTTCACTTTATACGGATTGCGGTGATGATGTAACTTGGCTACACATTCACCGGATCCATGGAAACTTCAGCGTCAAGAATTATATAATTATACCGAGGATATGATGTTCGTTAGCGCGATTCTAGAATAAAATCATATTATTTGCTAAAATAGCTGGACTGTTCAAAAAATATTGTGAATGTTTTTGCGGGAATTTTTGGAGTTTTTTTATGTTGGTACAGTCGTTTTGAACATATGTTCAAAGTTTCAGCTATCAACGTTTTAAATTTGTTGGTGAGAGGCATGAAAATTATCTGCAATCGAAAAAAAGGGATCAAATAATTTGAATCAAATTTTGTGAGAAAAATGTAATGGAGTACTTGAAATGTTAACAGTGGCATACGGTGATTGTACTCTGAGTCATAAAAATGTTTAACAGGTGGTACAAGCTTATGCGATGTTATATGATATTTTTGATATCTATGTTCGTCGATATAAAAACACAAGAAAAATATTTCCCAGCTGGTACACGCAGGACATTATTTTCTGTTTGAAATTGAAATGGTATTATTTATCACCCTATAAAAAACTGGCAATGGCAAATTTTTTCAAGATTTCTCTCATTTTAGAAGTTACATCAAAAACCAAATGAAAGTAGCTTATGATTACTACCAATATTCTGTTGAATCGAACGTTCGAAATAACCCCAAAAGCTTCTGGAATTTCGTTAAATGCAAAAAAGGATCTTCCTGAATACACAATAGATTGTTTGAAGGTGGTTGCCAATGTTTCGTGGTGTATTTCATCAGTTCGGACTTCCATTGTCTAATATAATATAAATTGATTTAAAATCCCTAAAAAAAAAAATAGAAGATTAACAGGAAATAACAATTTCAATAAACAAAAAATTAAAATACAAAGAAAATTACAAAGCTGAAAATGAAAAAAAATTTAAATATTATTAACAAAAAATTGAAAAATTGAAATTAAAACTTATCACCCGAAGACGATTATGGATACTAACAATCAAAACGTCGTGACATAACTTGGTTTGTTTATATTAGCCAATGGAAGACCGAACTGATGACATACACACAATAGACACCATCCTAGATGCCCCTCAAGACATATTAAACGATTTTTCTGCGGTCTTTAGCAGCGTTTTCTTCCACCATACAGATCTTGAGTCCAACAATGATTCTATGACACGAGAAAATATTTTCATAACACCTTTCACAGAGGAACAAATAATACTTTCACTCAGGAAGTTACCCAAAAAATTGACTCCTGCATATATTATTCCCAGCTTCCTAGTGAGGGACTGTGCTCAGGTTTTTGCTTGTCCATTGTCAAAAATATTCAACACAGTTCTGAGCAAATCTCATTTTTCTGAACGATGGTAATAATAAAATATCTGACCAATTCTTAAATCTGGAAACCCAGAGACCAAAATCTATTCTATGTAACTTTTTGGCAAAAAATCCACTGTATCGAATCTCTGCAGTATCAAGCAGTTTTTGATAGAAGTAATGGACAAATACACAATACACAAATTTTGCAAAGGCCTTCGACAGAATTAGTCACTTCATCTTACTAGATAAAATAGCTCAAATAGGTAAAAATCTCTCACTTACTCAACTTTTACTCTTGTATTTCGATTTTTTATAATGGGTTTTACGTCTGCACCATACTTATCATCATGCGGTGTGCCACAAGGCTCCAACCTGAGACCTCAGCTTTCCCTCATGTTCATAAATGATCTCATTTCCGAGCTTTCATGTAGTAACTTACTTTTTGCAGAGACCTTTTCATCTATCACAAGTTTAGAGAGCTGCTCCTACCTCCAGTCTCAATTAGACCTAATAGATAACTGATGTCAAATAAATAAATCAGCAATGAATGTTGAAAAGGGCAAAGTTAGCTCTTTTACACGTAATGCCAATATTATTGAGTATTTTTATACTTTCGAGGATAAAATACTCCATCGCGAAGAAGCTGTCAAAGATCTAGGGGTGACGTTCGACAGCACGTTGACATATGTTGACCACACCATGTTAGGTCATGCTATGCAATTTTTTCGTACATTTTTGGGACGAAGGGTGTGACAGCGAAGTTCTTTCCAAAATTGCTGAATTTTGACGAATGAAACGGTCGCATGAGCATTGCTCAGGAATTATTAAATGACGTCAACTGCCATTTGAACTTCCATTGTCTGATATTATATAAAATGATTTGAAATCCCTGAAAGAACTAAAAAAGAAGAATTAGAAATGAATAGGTGAAAATTACAACTATATTAAGCAAAAAAAAAAACCGAAATGAAAATAGTGAAATAAAATACAAGTAAAAATAGAACAAAAATTAAAAATTAAGAGATTCCAAGACAAGTTACTTCACGACGTTTCGATTGGGACTGCCAATGGGATCGCCACTTTCACCAGTCATAGCCAACATATATATGGAGTGGTTTGAAACTCTGGCCATTGAAGAAGCTCATAAGAAACCTCGTGTCTGGTTGAGATACATTGACGACACCTTCATGATATGGAAACATGGGAATACTGAAGCACATCAACAGCCTAAGATTTTCCATCACTTTCATAATGAAGAAGTCCACAACGAATTGCCATTCTTAGACGCATTGGTGGAGGACCGACACTAAGTGGAAACATCTGTATACCGAAAACCCACTCACACATAACAGTATCTGAACCACGAATCCAACCACCATCAGTCGACTAAACGAGAAATCATTAAGACTCTATTAGACCGTACTTTGGGGCTCTGTAATACGAAGGAAGGTCTCGAAAAGGAACTAGACATCATCAAAAATGATCTTCAACGGAATGGCTACTCCAAAGCGATGGTAGAATATACTTTGGCTGAAAGACAGCAGGAGCCTACATCAGAGGACTATCGGAAAGGATGACAAGAATTGGTTCCAAGTACAGCATCATTACCTGCTTCAGATCCGGAAACACTATCCGTAGCAGCCTCACGAAAACCAGGCCACCAAACGCCAAGCTGAGATCATACACAGAGATGAACATTAGTTTAGAAGGAAATTCAATGAAGCCGCATACATGTTGTCCAATAATGTATTCAGCCAAGCTAGCGTAGAGATACGGAACATATGGAAACCCAGCATCAAGTGAAAAATGGCCAATTCCTGCCAAAACGGTCATCTCACACTAAACCATTGAAGCGGAAAAAGGAAAGCGAAGGAAGTAAAAGTACTCAAATGACCTATAAATAATAATCTCTCGGAGGAATCAGTTCAGTCATAACCAGAAGATGATTGTGAATACTAACAATCGAAACGTCGTGGAGTAACTTGGCTTGGAATCTCTTGAGCGATTGTTCTATTTTCACTTGTATTTTATTTCACTACTTTTTCATTTCAGGTATAGTTGTTATTTTCAGCTATTCATTTTTAATTGTTCTTTTTTAGTTCTTTCAGGGATTTCAAATTATTTTATATATTATCAGACAAAGGAAGTCCGAACTAATGAAATTTTGCTTAGTGTTTTCTTGGATAACATGGCGTAGTGTATAAGGAGTTTCTGCCACATAGTCGTACGGTCAATGAGGAGTATTATTTTAGTTTTGCGCCGCTTGTGAGATGCAAGAAAACGTCCGGCATTGTAGAGAAACAAATCTTGACTTTTGCATCACGATATTGTACTTGGTCACTCATGATTTCTCATTCGTGATTTTCTAGGTAGGAACAACATGCGTCAGCCACCGTAATAACCAAAATCAACCCCTTGCGACTTTTTCTGTTCCCAAGTTCCAAAGGACCCATAAAAGTATGGCCTTTTGCGATGATTGGGAAGGTAAAATTCGAATCGCTGAGAGAGTTCAAGGACATACCAAAAAGTGAATATAATTTTGGGGTTGAGGGTAAGATTAACTCTGTATCAATTTTAATGAAACTTGGTGGAGAAGCAGAATTCGAAGATAGAGCTCACTTTCACCTTCGAAGACCGGATGATTATCCTTTACAGATAAAAAAGAAGACATTTGAGTAATATATAACTTTAAGTTGTAGAGGAAACAAATTTTACAACTGTATTTCACAAATATGAATATCGTTCGCCCAACAGTTGTTAAGGGTGACATTACTGAAACATAATAGGAAATAGTTTAACCAACTTGAATTTCTGAAATCAACGTTCAATATTAATTAAAAATTATCACCACTTCGTTACTCATAAGCAACAGTAAGTACCGACGAGGTAGTCATATATTAATTAGCGCGAAGCTTGACTCCTGCTTATGAGTATATTTCGCAGTATTAAATTGCAAGTAATGAATACACGTGTAAGATTTAATTCCGGAAAGTCAATATACCTGGAAAACAAATTTCATTTCCTGGAATAACCTCTTTGATGATATTAAAGCTCATAATTACAATTTGTGGGAAATTATATATATGATGAGTTGCTCATTCATCTAGTTTTCACATCAAAACACTTTATATAAGTAACGTCTTACTTGTAAGAGTTGAACGAAATGAATTGATTGACGCTTTTCGTACAGCATCAATTTTGATCCTGAATTGTTTGTGAAGTCATTGAAAGAAAATCCATTCATGATACGAGTGATTTGTACCGCAGCTACATCAATGACCTGAAAGAAAAAACGTCCTACAAAAAATTAATTTTTGGGAAAGGAAGTTTTTGGCTTTCTACTACTCCATCTTGAAAAACAAAATTTGGAAATCTTCCAAAGAAAGGAAGGAAGTAATTAATTTGAAAATAAGTAACTATACATGGACGTGTAGAGCATGCAAAGAAGCAACTTTCAGACACAAACTGGAAGAAAGCCCTCCTGAAACAGCTACTTTCATATAAACATTGAATTACACGAAAGAAAAAAAATCTTCTGAAACAAATACTTTTATATGAATACTGAATTATACAGAAGATACTTTTCTCTACTCAGTTTGTATTCCAAACATTCGTTGTGGAATAAAAATCATTTACAGAAG